ATCCCAGGTCATACAGCATAGCTTCACCACCCCTAACAATCACCTACGCGTCATCTGACCAGTGCCCTCCCTTGAATTCCTGGATCCGCTGACAGGTTTATCCTGTGTGTGTGTGTGTGTGTGTGTGTGTGTGTACGGGTGCTCCTTTGGGTCTGACTCGTTCAGACCCCCTGGACTGGAGCCCACCAGGCTTCTCTGTCCGTGGGATTTTCCAGGCAAGAATATTGGAGTGGGTTGCCATTTCCTCCCTCAGAGGATCTTTTCCACCCAGGGACTGAACCCGTGTTTCCCACGTCTCTTGTGTCTCCTACCTTAGCAAACAGATTCTTTACCACTGCACCGCCTGGGAAGCCCTGTCCTGACTACACTTTTCCCTTTCCAGAATGGCCTATAAAGGAACTCATACCAGATGTAGGCCTTTAAGACTGCCTTCTCTCACTTCACCAAATGCATGTATGGTTCTTCCACACCAGCCATGGACTTTCCAGAAAGGAAATTAAGCAACTATTCCATTTCAAATTGCATCAAAAAGAATTAAATGCCTAGCAAAAATTTAACCAAGGCAAGGAGAGACATGTGCCCTGAAAACTACAGAACATGAGACAAAACATAAACCACAGGAAGAAATGAGACTCCTTGCACGTACAGTTGTACCTGACTCTTTGAGACCCCTTGGGCTGTAGCCCGCCAGGCTTCTCTGTCCGTGGGATTTTTCAGGCAAGAACACTGGAGTGGGTTGCCACTTCCCAGGCAGGGCATTTTCCCGACCCAGGGATCTTACTTCTCCCAACAACCTTGATTCGGCCTGTGCTTCACGGAGCCTCCCCTCCTCCGTCTGCTGCACTGACAGGCGGGTACCTTGCCGCACGCGTCACCTAGTGCACAGACACCTGAGTTCACAGATGGAGCAGCTTTTCCACATGGAAGGAGAGCAAGGCTTCTTGAGTCAGTGACATGATCAGTGAGGAGCAGGAAGCCCCCGAGAGGGCTGATGGGGGCCTTCAGGGCCCGGAGGGAGGAGGTGGCTGCTCAACTGTTTGGTGTCAAACGGTTAGTTTCATGACACCTGAAGTTTCCATCCACTGAGAAGAACAGATTCCTAGATGACCCTTCAGGGTTCGGTCGCTCTTTCCCCTACTCTTGCCCTGCGTGTGTGGCCCACAGGCGGCCCGCCCTTTCTCTGGGAAGGGACGCCGTGCGTGCCTCCAGCCTCAGCAGTCATGGGTGAAGCTCCTCCAGCCGTTCGTGTGCACCGTGTGGACGCGCCTCAGGTCACTCAGGAAGACACCGAGAAGCATGCTTGCCGATCTCAGGATAGAGCTGCTGATGTTGCTCAGTCGCTAAGTCAGCTCCGTGAACTGCAGCACGCCAGGCCACTTGTCCTCCACTACCTCTTGGAGTTTGCTCAAACTCATGTCCAATGAGTTGGTGGTGCTATCTAACCACCGCATTCTCTGCCGCCCCTTCTCCTTGTGGCCTCAATCTTTCTCAGGACCTGGGTCTTTTCCAATGAGTCAGCTCTTCACATCAGGTGGCTAAAGTAGCGGAGCTTCAGCATCATCCCTTCCAATGAATATCCAGGGTTGATCTCCTTTAGGATTGACTGGTTTGGTCTCCCTGCTGTTCAAGGGGCTCTCAAGAGTCTTCTCCAGCAGCTCAGTTCAAAAGCATCGATTCTTTGCTGATCAGCTTCTTTATGGAAAATGGCAACCCATTCCAGGGTTCTTGCCACGAGAACCTCACAAATAGTGTGAAAAGGGTAAAACCATGCTACCTTTCTTCGAAACTGCCATACCGCCCGCTGAGGTGACTGGTCAACCTTCTCTCCACCAACACTGGCGAGCTTCTCCATTGTCTTCCTCACTGGTCGGCAGTGGGCATCGCAAGACTGGTGGGTTTTAGCCATTCTAACAGTGTGGCTGAGCAGTGGCCCTGGGGCTGAGGACAGCTCTTAGGGAGGGTCTGGGTTTTCTCCGGTCCTGATGCTCTCAGACGTGTCCCGTCCATACCTGTGGGGACGGACACTCACTCTCCTGAAAGTCCACTGCACTGTGACCTTCACAGAAGGGGAGTGGTCCCACAGAGAGCACAGGTCTTGCTACAAGCACGGGGCTCCAGATCCCCGCCCCAGCACAGAAGCTCTGTCTCACACACACCAGGGTGGGCCGAGAGTCCCTCCCCACCCCAAGGGCCCCTCGACGCTGCTCACAGGTCATTCTGTCTCCTCAATAGCAGCCTGGGTGGTGGGACGACGGAGGGATGATGAAGCCCCCTCTGCCTCCTGAAATGCAGTCTGGGGCAACATGCAAGTGTCTCTGCTCCCATGTGTGCTGTCCTGTGGGAGCTGGAAGGGCCCGCTCCCGGTGGGTGTGTGAGACACGCCCCGATGGACCCCCGTCCTCCTCCGCTCCGGCTCTGGCCATGTCCAGGGAAAAGGGGATGGCGGAAAGTTCAGTGGGTGGCAGAGCTGCATGGCCAACCCCGGCCGGTAGAAGTGGTGGCCACAGCAGTCCTGCACAATGTCCGCCTCTTGGAAATGTCCCATTAGAGACTCCCCTTGTCCATCAGGCAGCGGGCAGGCTGCTTTGCGGGCAGCCCACAGCCCTGCCTCGATGGGCCAGGCCAGGATCCCCACGAGGCCACCCTGGCACCTGTGCACTGCCCACACTGCATCTGCCCCTGATGATGCCTCACTCACAGTGTCTCTGCTCAGGGGGCAGGTGACCGGGGACAAGCCCTCTGGGCTGGCATTTCGGTCCTTGGAGGTCACGAGCACCCTCTCGATCACCCCCTCTGGGGAGAGGGACCAACTGCCTTGCACAGGATTGCCTGCAACCAAAGAAAGGATCTGCAGGACTAGTCCGCGCAACCCGACCTCACCCCAGCAACCCCAACTTCTGCATAATGACAGCTTCTGTAAACCACATGTGCAGGGAACGCAGTAGCTGGTCATGCCTCAGGTAGGCACATGCCTGTGCTCCACGTGCTCTCCACACCAAGCCCTGAGGTCCCCACGCTTACTTACTGTGGGGCCCACACTGCAGAGGGAAGGGGACCCTGTGTATGGTAACTGCAGGTCTGGCATAGGGGCTGCCCTGCTGTGGGCCCCTTCAGAAATCCCAGGGGTCCCTGGGCTCTGCTGACTCTCCTGCCACCTGTGGGCATGTGATGTTTGCCTCCTTCTAAGGTTATGCCTGTCTCCTCCCCAGCCCACACGCAGGAGGCTGACACGACCTCTCGAGACCCATGGAGCCAACTGGGCTGCTAAATGCAGCCAGAATGGATCCCGATCCTTTTCACACCCAATGCGAAAGCTGCCTGTATGCCTGGTGGAGAGTATTGGTCAGCAGGTGTCCTCCCACCCTCTGAAGAAGTCAGGGCGTAGGTACAGAAGGGTGGAAACAGTGACCGGGTACATCACATCAAAGCTGAGTGAACGTCCTGAGACTGCTGTCTTCTCATGTTGTCTCTGGGGCTGATCCTCAGCACAGAGGACCCCCCAGATGGGAAAGATTAAGAAACTGTGGACAGTAGGATCTGGGTCTTATCCTGAACGTGGCGGACCATCCAGATTTGGGAAGATGGAGAAACTGTGGACAGCAGGAGCCAGGCTCCACGGCATCGGCAGCCTCTTGCCCATTGCCAATTCGTCTCCAATTGCACGTCTCCGGGACTTGGATACCGCAGGGCTGCCAAAGCACCTTTGCCCAGGTATCATCACAGAACTTCCCAGGAGCACACAGGCTGCCAGAGCTCACACAACCCACATCCTGTGTCCCTGCAACCAAAACACCAGGCCCGGAAGTCAGAGCCGGACCTTCCCGTGGGCAGTGAGAGATGACAGCCTGCCTGGCACGCGCCTCCGCCGCAACCGCCGCTGGTGCGCAGGCCTGAAGGCAGACGCAGTGCGCCGTCCTCTGCAGGACCCGGCGGGTGAAAGCAAACACCTTTCCCGCCTGCAGTAGTTCTCCCTTTGACCGTTTCTGCAAACGGTGAGCAGGACGTGAAGGAGTCTGTGACTGCCCCAGGATGACAGCAGGCACGGACACTGAACACAGAGCCGAGAGGAAACGGGCGGGGCTGCGGAGCAGCAGGGCCCAGAGACATCCCGGGGCCCAAGCTCCTTCCGCGCGGCTCGCCTCACGGCAGGCCGATCCGCCCAGGCCCGGGAGTCGGGTCCCAGTCGCAGCCTCACGGGCAGAGCCAGCGGACAGAGCAGAGGCCGACGTGGGTCCTCCGGAGCCGTCTGGCCTGGGTCTGACTCTAGTTCCTCTCACGGTGCGGGGACCGGGAGGTGAGGAGGTAGAGTGCTACAGGCCACAGGCTGCTGCAGGCACTCCCTGCTTCCCGCCGCGTTCTGCATGGAGGGCTCCGGTTCTCATCCCCTGCAGCCGTGCCCAGCGGGGCTTGGCCAGGGCTTTCCTGTGAGCTGACACTGGGACAAGGGGGCAGGGTTCAGGGGACAGCCGCTCCGTACACCATGGACCACCTCCCTGCAGCGAGCAGCATGCAGTCAAGGCAACAGAACACAGACGTGAAAGGGAAGGAACCAGATCCGACCTGAGTCAGACTTCTTGTCTCCCAAGACAAGAAGGCAAAAAGCGAAACGGCCCAACGATTACACCCTCTGTTGATACAGAGTTCTCATATTACGGACAAAAGGGAAATCTTGCTTTTGATTCTGCCCTGTGAGGGAGTGTCTGTCCTCTGTGGATGGCTACAAAGTTGTGTAAAAATGCCTGAAACATTGCCTCGCTCCCCTTGGGTACCCGCAGGCCCCCTGGGTCCACAGAGGCACAGGCGAAAACCATCCCCTTCCAGGAAAGAGCCGCACAGAAGGACAAGAAGGGAACCCGGGGACTCGCAGTCAGGCCTGGCTTCTGGTCTCACCAGCCGGGGTCAGCAAGAATCGCAGAGAGCGTCCCAGAGGAGAGTGGGGAGCCTGCTCCTCAGGGGGCCTAAACGAAGCTTCCAAGCGAAAACCAAGAGGAACACACGGTTTGCAAGTGACCTACCTGCCAACCAGAATGAGACACATGCAATTATGAGCTTTTTCAGCACCTATGAATGTGAGTGAGCAGTGTCTGGTTCCAATCGCCAAAGTAGAAGGAAGTGGTGCTCACCGGGAGAAGAGAGGACTGTGCAGGAGGGGGCCTGGCAGCCCCCGCGGGCAGAGTGGGGGTCGTGAGCCGCGGTGCAGGTGTACGTCGGGCGTGCAGACCGCCGGAAGAAGGGCTGGACGTGTGGAGTGGAGACAGGCCTCCGCTCCCCTGCCCTGCCCCTCCCATGTCGCCCTCGTGGACACGGCCCTCCTCCCGCCCCTGCTCAGTCCCCGCTGGCCTGATGACCAGGCTCACCCAGGGCCTCGCCCGCTGACTGTGACTCAGTCTCTGCAGATGACCCGCCAGGGCTGGGCGCTGGCAGCCCAGGCACCCTTTGTTCTGCGTCAGTGTCTCCTCGGGGGGCAGTGGCCTCAGCACGCGGCTCAGACCTGGCTCCTCTGCGGGGCCTCCCCTTCTCTGTCCTCACTGGCCGACATCCCTGAGCAGCGCCCCATGCTGGCCGAGGGCCGGGTCACCCTGAGGGCAGCCCTCTGGCTGCTCGGGCTCTGGGCAGAGCTGGCCGCTGTCCAGTGCTCTCCGGACCGCCCCTCATGGCGCTACATCTCCACGGAGGTGGTGATTCCCAGGAGGGAGCCGCACCAGGGCAAGGGGGCCCAGGTGCTGGGCTGGCTCTCCTACAGCCTGCGTTTCGGGGGACAGAGGCACGTCATCCGCTTGCGGCGCAAGAGGCTCTTTTGGCCTGGGTACCTGATGATGACTCAGGATGACCAAGGAGTCCTGCAGACGGACCACCCCTTCGTCCCTGAAGACTGTTACTACTTTGGCTACCTGGAGGAGATCCCTTTCTCCATGGTCACCATGAACACGTGCCTTGGGGGTCTCCAGGGCTATATGAAGTTGGATGACCTTACCTACGAAATCAGCCCCCTCAAGCATTCTCGAAAATTTGAGCACGCTGTTTCTCAGATGGTGGCAGACGCCAGCGCAATGGGACTGACGCACAGACCGGGGTATGAGAAGGAAAGGAACCCTCTGCTCTCTCCAGCAAACATCACTGCAGTCCCCCGATATTCTAGTAAGCTGTATTTGTTCCATGTAGCACATATTAAAGGAGCAGTGCAGTCTACTAATGCATTTTACCGAACCGTAAACAATGTGTCAACAACTCTTCAGTACATGGTGGATGTGGGCAATATCATTGATGCAGTTTATCGTGGTCTTGAGATAAGGTTTTATATTAGCGTCCTACACATTTTTAATGTTATGGACCCAGTCAGCACTGAGTCTCTCAGACCAAATAGTCCATACTTCAACTTCTATCACAGAACCCTAAGTCCTATTTTTAGATCACATGCTGGCATAGTCTTTAATACCATTGAACCACCAGATGGTGCCGTTGTTCCATCCCTGTATAGTTTCTGCATTTGGCTACCTGGAGGAGATCCCTTTCTCCATGGTCACCATGAACACGTGCTACGGGGGTCTCCAGGGCTATATGAAGTTGGATGACCTTACCTATGAAATCAGCCCCCTCAAGCATTCTCGAAAGTTTGAGCACGCTGTTTCTCAGATGGTGGCAGATGCCAGCGCAATGGGACTGATGCACAGACCGGGGTATGAGGAGGAAAGGGACCCTCTGCTCTCTCCAGCAAACATCACTGCAGTCCCCCGATTGTCTAGTAAGCTGTATATGTTCCATGTAGCACTTATGCAAGGATTATTTCAGTCTACTAATGCATTTTACCGAACCTTAAACAATGTGTCAACAACTCTTCAGTACATGGTGGATGTGGGTAATATCATTGATGCAGTTTATCGTGGTCTTGAGATAAGGTTTTATATTAGCATCCTACACATTTATGATGTTAGGGACCCAGTCAGCACTCAATCGCTCAGATCTGGGAGTTCATATTTCCGGTTTTATACAAGAAACATATTTCCTGTTTTTAGACCACATACATCCGTAGTCTTTAATACAGTTGAACCACGTGATGGTGCCTATATTCCACCCCTATATGGTTTCTGCCACTCAAATAATTTGTTGCCAATTGCTACTTCAGGGAAACATATCCTAAGGGTGGGACTCTATCTGTGCTTTCTAATTGGCAGAAATATTGGTCTGTTTTATGACTACAGTACCTGTGTTTGCCAGAGAAGGACCACCTGCATTATGAATGGCTACCAGTCACTGACAGATGCTTTCAGTAACTGCTCCTACATGCATTTACAACATGTAGTTACTCGTGATCTAAGCTCTTGTATGTATCACCATGAGCCGGTATATTACAATAGCACAATGACACACGAACGCTGTGGAAACGGAGAAGTGGAAAATGGCGAGCAATGCGACTGTGGCTCCTTCAAGCAGTGCTATAACAACCTATGCTGTGACAGCTTCTGTTCCTGGACTGATAAAAGTAACTGTGACGCAGAAGCATGCTGCACAAACTGCACATACTCCAAGCCTGGGACAGTCTGCAGACCCATCCGGAGCACATGTGACCTTCCCGAGTACTGCCATGGGGTAAGCAAGACCTGCCCGAGAGATGTTTTTATGCAAAATGGAACCCCATGTGGTGAAGAGGGCTACTGCTTTAATGGAAGCTGCACTGACCGCGGTGTGCATTGCAAAGAAATCTTTGGTAGAGGGGCTTTGAATGCTCCAGATGAATGCTATACTATAAACAAAAAAGCCAACCGATTTGGACACTGTAGAAGAAGAGCTATTTTCTCTTTCTTCTTCGTAGGTTGTGCGAAGGAGGATGAGCTCTGTGGGAGGCTGCAGTGCACCAACGTCACTTCTCTCCCCCGGCTGCAGGAACACGTTGGATTTCATCAATCTCATATGTCAGGGTCCTTGTGTTTTGGGCTGGACCTACACCGTGGGCAAGGAACCGTTGATGTTGGCCGAGTGAGAGAGGGTGCCCTCTGTGGTGCCGGAAAGTACTGTTTAAATACCTTCTGCAACAATTCTGTGAGTAAAATAGAGTATACATGTCTCCCTGAGAAATGCAGCTCCAGAGGGGTTTGCAACAGTGAAGACAACTGCCACTGCCACGTGGGCTGGGCTCCTCCGCTTTGCAAAACCAAGGGTGACGGAGGGAGCGCAGACAGCGGGCCCCCTCCAAGTCGATTTCGGTCAGTACCGTATGATGAAACAATTATAGTCTATGAGAGACTGGTGTTCGCTCGCCTGTATGCCTTCACAGCTGCATTGCTCTTTGGTGTGGCCACAAATGTAAAAACTATCCATACCAGCAAAATTAAGGAAGAGACCGTACAACCTGTGTAAACCAGCCTCCTGATCCCTGCACAACTGCAGGGGAGGTAGGAGGAACTTCTGAGAAGGAATCAGTGATAGACAGCAAAGCTGAAGTCTGCAGCAGACAGGGGTGGGGGCAGGTATCAGGAGGGTCAGCCTTCTCACCCAGGTCTCTTCCATAGGCCGCTGACCAGTACTCTGAAATAAATCTTGAACACCAAACATAGGTGTCCTCTAATATTTTGTATTCCTAAGAGCCCAAACTGAGCCTGAGACTGGTCAGGAGAGACCTGAGTGCAACTGGGTCTTGACCCAAAGTTGCTGGTCCCAGTTAACAACCCCCTTAGGGGCAAATTTATCTAGCTTTTCTCAGTGCTCTTGAACACTGAGGTTTTCCTCATCTCCTAGCTGCCTTCTCTTTTGCCAAACCCAAACTGGATTCAGGGTGGTCGAGGACTACTCCCAGTCGAGGACTGTTCATGCGGGGTGGGGGGCGAATGGGGTGGTCTGCCGCATGTGGCAGCCCCATGTCCTCTGGCAGCCGGGCAGGGTGGGTGCCTTCCACGTCCAGCCTCAGGACAGAGCAGAGACCCAGACAGACACTTCTCACCCTTGGGTGACCTCTGGCTGTTTCTGAGGTGAACGTCACGCGCGTGTGTGCAAGAGTGAGTGTGCTCAAGTGCTGGGTGTGTCAGCACCCGGTGAGGACAAACCCCCGGAGGCCAGCCTGGTGCCCAAGGCCCCCAGGCTCTGCAGACTCAGCGCTAGAATCTAGGTGGGCTCTCCCTTTTTCCACAGTTCTTCAATAAAGGCTTCAAAATCCTCAAACTCAAACTGGGTTCTAAAACTCAGCGATGGAAGGTTCTGGAAACACTCTCCTGGCCCCACAATGGCTCCAGGAAGTGGGAGCCCAGGGACCACTGGTTCTGCTTGGGAGATGCACCGCCAGCACTCGTGTGTGAAGACCCTCCCAACCACCCCAGGGTCCTCCCACCTCCCACCGACCCCTGCTTGCAGAGCCCAGTGCAGGCAGAAGAGGTGCCCCTACCCTGTCCAGGGGCAGGACTGTCCCCCGCCTCTCCTGATCAGGGCTGGCAGATGCCTGGGTTTAGGTGCTTTCAACACCGGGGCGCCTGCTCAGAACCTTGACAAACCCTCCCTTGGCCCACCTGCTCCCTTCCGTACCTGAGGAAGCAAGTGAACCAGAGGCAGCACCCCATGGTGAAAGGCCACTCTTCCACCCAAGCCCTTGAGAGACAAGGTTCTTCTCCGTCCAGCCGGTTCTTCCCCCAAGTGAGAGAAGAAGCTGGAGAAAGTGGGCTGCTGTGGATTAGCCACTGCAAAGTCCCGCTGAGCAAAGTCAGAGGCTTCGGGTTCATCCAGGGCTTTGGGAGGACGGAGAGGATGCAGAGGCAGTATTGTCATGGTTCTTGACCTGACGCAGCCCAGTGGAAAACACTTATTTGGTTTTAGTCGATTCTGAAACTGAAAGCAGATGTAGCGTCTAAAATAGAGGATATCTTCCCCTGTCTCTGGGGAAGAACCAAAGAAACCTGGACCAAGCAGCAAGTACCAAAGAGTGGGACTGATGACAGTGACTGGTGAGTGAGTCCCAGGAACCCTGGACCGGCATGGAGGGGCTCATCGGCGGAAGGTGGGGCCCAATGAGGAGGAGATGCTCCCTAGGTCTCCCACCACCCACAAGAGCCACGCCTTCCTGATCGGCCCCGCCTCAGTACCTCCATGTTGGAGAAGACTCTGGAGAGTCTCTTGGACTGCAAGGAGATCCAACCAGTCCATNTGTGGAGCTGGAGGAGGCTTTTGAGAGTCCCTTGGTCAGCAAGGAGATCCAACCAGTGAACCTTAGAGGAGCTCAAGCCTGAATATTCAATGGAAGGACTGATGCTGGAGCTGAAGCTTCCATCCTTTAGATACCTGATGCGAAGAGCAAACTTACTGGAAAAGACCCTGATGCTGGGAAGGATTGAAGGTGGGAGGAGAAGGGGACGACAGAGGATGAGATGGTTGGATGGCATCACCGACTCGATGGACATGAGTTTGAGCAAGCTCTGGGAGATGGTGATGGACAGGGAGGCCTGGCGTGCTGTAGTCCATGGGGTTGCGAAGAGTCGGACATGACTGATGAACTGAATAATTCTTTGCTTTCTCTCTTTCCCTGAGAAACTCTTCCTGAGGTTCTGCCCGCCTCTCTGCCTCTGTCCATCTGCGTTCCCACGGGTCCTCTGGGTGTGCACGCGCACTGATCTAGTCAGCCGGGCTCGCAGTTTACCCTGAATTAGGGGGTAAAGCAATTACTTTCCTAATCAAATAAAATGAATGGACTCAGGAAACAGACTAGATAATTTCTTGTTAGGAGCAAGCCTCCCTTTGAAAAAGAGCATCACATGTCTCCAATTTTGTATGCAAAATGCATCTGTGAATGAGTCTAACACATTTAGTTACTTTCAGAAAGTGACAGGTCATGCTTCTTGAAATAATTCAATGTATCGGGGCGTGGGGGGCGGGGGTGGGGTGTGGGCAAGAATCTTAAATCATTGGAACAAAGGTGTCATATTCCTTAAAATCTGTTGGAATGTTCACTTCCTAAGACAGCATATTCTTGTGTCCTTGGAAAGAGACCTGGAGGTTTAAAGCGATTCATTCTGTTTTAGCGTTGTTTACCCCCAACGCTAAGATCAGGTTTTCATCCTTTGTATCAGCTAGACTGACTTTCTCCTCCAAATATCGAATGTTTTTCAACAAGCCTTTCACAGTGAAATAGTAATTCCTATAAACCCTCTTCTCTAAGAAGACCCCTTCAGTATAAGATTTCTGGGCTGTCTCCACTAGAGTGAGATTTTAAAGAGGAACCAAGAAGTTTATCCGTTGCCATTGAATGGCGATTAGCTTGTTCCGTGCTGGGCTCCAAAAGTGAAGAGTTTCATTTATGTTGCTGTGGTTTAGTCGCTCAGTCGGGTCCGATTCTCGCAACCCCATGGACTGTAGCCCACCAGGCTCCTCCGTCCATGGGATTTCCCCAGGCAAGACTACTGAAGCGGGTTGCCATTTCCCTCTCCAGGGGATCTTCCTGATAGTCGTCACGGTCGTCACGGGTCCCCTGGGGATTCATGGTGAGGACCCAGAAAGTGACACGTGGGCACTGCGCATGGTGCCCAGACCACAGCAAGCACTCAGTCCGCCAGGCTCTTCAACAGCTACTGCCACTCTGTTCCTGCAGCCCGAGCCCCCTCCCTCCCTCTGCGGCAGCTGAGACACCTGCCTCCACCCACAGCTCCGGAACGCGTGCGCCCGCCCCCAGAGTGGCCGCGTCTGTGGAGCCAAAGCCTAGCCGTGGCATTCGCTCCAGTGGCTCTGCCCCTCGGGCAGGGCACGACACACCCTCCAGCGGGCTGTGCTCGCAGGCAGCCCGGCCATCCAGCCGTGTTTGCAACATTGATCCCTGTCTCTGCCCCAGTCCAGGGGCGCTTCCTGCCCCGCACCACCTGCTCCCCCAGCAGGCTCTGTGTCCTCTGCCCTGGACACAGTGTGGGCTGGGAGGCCCGAGCAGGTCAGAGCACAAGGGTTAGCCGAGTTGGCCGACAAAGTCAGCGCCGTCACCCAGAATGCTGCTTATCCAGGAACAAAACTGACTGAGGAAGAGGTAGGAATCTAATGAGAAGGTTAATCCTCAAGAAAGCGTTGAGGTTACCGAGTTTGCAATCACCCGCACAGGCGAATCCGGGCCCAAGTGGATTTGGGGCAAGCTTTCAGACGTCTGCAAAACTGGTCATGCCCACGTGTAGGAATCCTGCCTGATGACCGATGGCTGTGTGTGGGTTCCTGCCCTGATGTCACCAAAAGAAGCTCAGGCTGGATGACGTGTCAGCCAGACATCATCACTGAAAGTCTTTTCTTGTTTGTCATGGTTTAGATGCTAAGTTGTATCCAACTTTGTACAACCTCATGGACTGTATAGCCCGCCAGGTTCCTCTGGCCATGTAATTTCCCAGGCAAGAATAATGGAGTCTGTTGCCATTTCCTTCTCTAGGGGAGCTTCCTGACCCAAGAACGAACCAACATCTCCTGCATTGGCAGGAGACTTCTTTACCAGTGAGCCACCAGGGAAGTCCAGATGAAATTCTAGGAAGCCAAATTCTGTCCAGGTCACTGCACAGACTCAGACCAGACACTCAGAACTCTGTACGGCTCACCCAGTGATCTCGCCCATGGGAAGCAAAGACTCATTCTATTAAGCCACTGCAAGCCCATGTGGACGCCAGGGGGGCACCCTCTCCTGTCCACACCTGAAGTGACCCTGGAAACTGATGAGATGGCTTTTATATTTAAGGCAGGACAGCCTCTGCAGAAAGTGCCCGTGGGAGCCATTATACCTAAGTCTCCCTCCCAGCCCTGCAACTTAGCCCCCCGCCACCCCACAGGTCAGCCTGGGGAGCTCAAGATGGACTGGCGTCCCTATCTACCAGGTTCCTGTGAGGATGCTGACCACGGCCACCAGGATCGAATCATCATCTCCTGCTTTGGTAGGAGACTTCTTTACCAGTGAGCCACCAGGGAAGTCAAGATGAAATTCTAGGAAGCCAAATTCTGTCCAGTTCACTGCACAGACTCAGTCCAGACACTCAGAACTCTGTACAGCTCACCCAGTATCTCGCCATGGGAAGCAAAGACTCATTCTACTAAGCCACTGCAAGCCCATGGGGACGCCAGGGGGACACCCTCTCCTGTCCACACCTGAAGTGACCCTGGAAACTGATGAGATGGCTTTTATATTTAAGGCAGGACAGGCCCTCAGGGTAGTGTGCTCCCTTCCCGTGCTGGGCCTTCCTTGTACCTGTGGTTCTGTGGTCAGCTGAGCCGGTGATCCTCAGGTGTCGGAGGGCCTGCCCCAAGGGAAAGGGCATGTTTTCCTCTCTTCCAGCACCAGCCACGTAACTTCCTAAAGATCAGCACTCTTTCCCAGCTCTGGAGGCGTCTTGGCAAACCTCTACCCACTTTGTACAACTTACCTGGCTGGGCACCCTTGGTGACTTTTCTGTAAAATAACCTCGCATCTTTCCAATGGACGATCCTTTGTCTCAAAAATGTGCATGACTGTGCCTTCAACTCTTGGTAGGCAGAGTGACTTCTGAGACTCCACTTCCCTTCTGGGACTAGAATCCTCAGTTTGGCTTGGATAAAATCTCCCTTTTTCTTCTCACCTTTGAGAAATGGAGTACTTCCTGCCATATCAGTAAACAAGGATGCCACAGTTATCTGAGATGCCAGCCCTCCAAAGGTGGATTTCTGAGCCCTGAGGGTGCCCAGGGAGGTGAACGATACCTGCCGTCCAGCAGCCCTTAGGTTGCAGCCACTCCCCAAGGTGAGCCCTGAGGAAACTCAGGATGTGAAAATGCAGGACACCGGCCCAGACAGCTGAGGTGCTTATGAAATGGAAGCTTTCAGGGAGCCCAGACTCTTGCATCTTCCCACACACAGAAAAGCACTAAATTGCTGAACTTGGGTTATCTGGCTTTCTTTAATTAGCAATACCCTTTTGACGTTCAAACTACCTTCCTGTAGTTGCAAAACCTCTATATCGCCTGGGTCCCCCACCGCCCTCCATCACAGACATGAGGCCCCGGCTCCCTGGCAGTCTCACAGCATGCCTAACACACGCCCAGCATGCCGCCTCCCAGGCCGGCCCATCTCCTCCGGTTACCGGGGCCTCAGTGTGCAGGGCTGCCTCTCGTCCGCTGGTGCCCTGGCTCACCACGGCCCTGCCCATGGGTGCCCAGCCGCTTTCCCGCACGGAGCTCCCAGGCCGCCCCGTGGGAAGGCAGAGGCCCTGCTCCTCCCCATCCTGGCGGCCGCTCCGTAAGCACAGATGCTGGGGGGGGCCTGGCTCCTAACAGGGCCTCTCCAGCCCCGAGGATGTAGGTAGGCATGGCCCGCACGACAGCGCCAGAGACCCTGGTGTTAGATGCCTCCACCAT